AGGACAGAAAAAGTAGGGAAAGACGGCAGTCATGTGTTCGCCCATAGTCATGGTCAAACGAACAGATACAAAGAGCAATAGGTCTGTAGTCTACCAGTTTCTGTGGGCTTTGAATCTTTGGAATGAGTCTAATGTGGGTGAGATTTATCTTTGCAGGTAGATTATCAGATGTGAAAAAGGATTTGACTTCAGTGATGACTTGTGGACCAACTGTCTCCCAGTTAGACTGAAAAAAGCTTGCAGAAAACCCGTCAGGTCCCGGTGCTTTGTCTGCATTAATTGAGAAGCAAGCCTTCTGAATTTCTTCATCCGTTGGTAAGGAGATGAGGAACTGGTTTATTGAAGCTGAGATACGTGGTTGGATAGCCTCCTGAATCAGGTTTGATCTCTCCCCCTCCTGAGAGGTAAACAAATTCTTGAAATAATCTGTGATCACAACCAGAATGCTTTCCTCCTCATAGTAAGGTACTCCATCATTATCCTCTATCACAGAAAATTTATTGACTGTTGTTCTTCCTCTAGTGATAGCATGGAAGTATCCGGAGTTTTTATCTCCCGAAGCAAGCCACAGTTGACGGCTTCTTTGTTTCCAAAAATCTTCCTCCGCTTTATAGGCCAACAGGAGATTGTGGTTAGTGGTTAAAATCAGATTTGTGTCCGGGTTTTGGCTTGCCATAGCCTCCTCCAAAATTTGTCTGTTTTCCTCAATAGCTTTCTGACTGTTTTGGTGTTTTTCCTTGGTCCAGATTATGATAGCTCTGCGGCAGCGAGTGATCTTTTCATTTACATCTTCTTGATCATCCAGAGACCAGGCTTCATGGATCAGGTTTCTTACTTCCTCGTTCTCTTTCAACCTCCTATCATATCTAAAAATTCCTTTCTTCTTCTTCTTTGTGAGGTCCAAGAGAGTAAGAAGAGGCCTGTGGTCAGAGCCCTCAAATCTGAGATACTCACTGTGACTAAAAGGATCAATCTCCGCCCATGCACTATTTGACATAGCTCTATCTAGAAAGCCAATTTGTTTAAACTTTCAAATTTGGTTTAAAAAATAGTTGCCAAGAATTGGTTTAGTTTATTAAGAACTCGACAAGATTTTAGTTGAAATTCATTTTTGGATGCAAATACTACATTAAGTGGCTAGGGTGTCATCAGAAGAATAATATTGTTTAAATTTTTATATGCATTACATTTTGTATAAAATTTTTGCTTAAAATTTGTTAAAGAAAAAATATCAACAATATGCGACCACATTTTGCCACTTCTAATATACTTGGTAAGATATATACAATAAACCTTTGTAACATTAATATTATCATATCTTACTATATAAAGCTTGGTTTTCAAAGTTAGTAATTCACATAATGGAGATTGATGAGCTGGCTTAAGCAGTGGTAGTAGGAGTTAGACAATTACTTTCACAACATCACTGTATTCATTGAGCTGAAAAGGGAGATTGATGAACAAGTACGAATTTGTATTCTTGAGGTTTGATTCTAAAAGAAAAGAGTTTGGGTTTGGCTAGTCTTTTCTTAACAGTATTTAACCATGAGAAACTAATATTCTACATTTTGCTTGAACGGTGGTACCTGTCACAGCCTAAAGAATAGAGAATGAGTTTACTTGTTAATTTTCTTTTAAATCTGAGTGATCATGCTATCGTGTAACGAAGAATTAGTCATTTCTTAAAAATGGCTGAACTCCAGTGACTAGTGCCGGCAATCATTGGTGGCACACAATGGTTGTGGTTGTTCTCCGGTGAAGTTCATGTGACCTTCTCTTTCTCTCGGCCTTTCTCTTCTCTTCATCCCCTCACGGCTCTCTCTCCTCTAGAGATTATCTGCTCTCGGTGTTTCTCTCTTTTACAGGTTAGTTAAGATAGGAGTTCATTTTCAATGTTAGTGGATGGTTTTTGCATTAAAGAATGTTTTGGGCCGGGCGAGAAGTCAACACGGACAGGCTCGTGTAGTGCCTTTGGGTGTCACATAAACCCTTAATCCAACTAAAATCGACTAGGATCCAATTTAGCGTTTAAAACGGTAAGTGTTGAATCCGTCCGATCACCAAAAGGCTTAAACACTTTCTTAAACATTGTTGTATATACCACAACCAAAAGGCTCTTGAAGATATCTAACGCAGCTAGAAACTGTAATAATTAAACAAAGCACCTAAATCACTCCCAAATATTACGTTAATACCATTATACATATCCCTTTGGCTTATACATAAGCAAACACTAGAATTGACTTTTGGTCGATCAATCGATAGTGACCATATAATGATAACATATCAGAAATGGTTTGTGAAACTCTCACTGTACATAATAGAGTTATGAAGCTGATGCAACCAAATTAAGAATCCACATTCAAAAAAAGAAAGTAAAAACAAATAAAGAAAGCTCAAAGCTTCAAGGTTAGATCTGGAAGAGAACTCTCCATATCCACCGCTTGCTTGACGTCCAAGAAATCCATTTTTCTTTCACCTAAATTATCATTACCCGCTTCAACCGCAGCGGCATCCGTTGCTTGCCTGAAACTCCCTGGCCAGAGCATCTCGGCCTCGTCGTCCTCAACGTAAAAAGGTATACAATTACCGAAATATCCCTGGTTGAACCTGGCAATGTTTCTAATAATCGTTTCTGGTGTCTGCCTTGTCATGCCGACGTCGTGGGACGAGGCATGTGCCCGAATTCCCAAAGTCCTGAATGATGTCATATTACCGTTTCCGCTTCCATGAAGCGGCAAACACGAGAGAGCGGCTGCTGTGGCAGCCGCGTAGCTACTACTTGATCCTCTACCGGGGAAGACCCCAGCAAGACCCATACGCATAGCGCGTTTGGCAAGTGTTCTCTCTCGTTTATGAGCGTTTTGGTGACCACCAAGGGCTTGAGAGCTATAGAACTTCCTTTGGCAGTAGTTGCAAGAGAAGACTCTCTTCGATACTGACGGTTGTTGTTGCTGTTGCTGCTCCGGGTTACTACTCTCACTCGTGCTCGAAAGTGGCAGCGTCAAAGACGATGATTCAAGATCAAGATTGTTGTTGTTGAAAGAGAGGCTAAGATTCAGCAAGATTGGTTTGTAATCTTCCCCAACCGGAGACAAGTTTGAGGCCACTTGGCTGCTGCTACTGTCCGATGAAGCTTCCACTTCGAGATCTAATATTGGTCTCATGATTTCTGGCAGAAACTTAATGTTGTTTTTTTCTTTTTCTGCAATGATTTTTTATTGAAGAGAATGTTAGAATTATTTAGATCATTATTTGTATAACCATATCTATGAGAAGTATATAGAAAAGGAATAATTTAAAGAAATTGGATTGTTTCTGACCAAACAAAGTCGATAATGCATACAAAATATTCTAACAAAAATAATTATTATTTCAGAAAAAAAGATAGTGGAGGAAACATTGGTGTGACCATAAATGGTCCTAACGAGTCAATGAGTAGACAACATCAGAAGTGCCAAATTTAGTACTGACACATCCATCCATCAACCAGTCAACTCTAACTAATTAAATTGTTCCATTTCTCACTAAACTAAATTAATTTCCAAATAATTTCTAGTTCCTTTTATCATCTTCCAACTAAGTTCAATTTTAATTGAATTTAACTTCAAATTATGATATTAAGGCAGAAATAAAACAAAAAAAATTATATCACAATTCACAAACATTTTAGTACTTCATTTAATTGTTTTTGCTTCTATTAAGAAAATAAAACAGAAATATACACAAAGCCACAAACAAACAAAAAACCCGACAAATAAAACACATTACACACAAAGGAACAAACAAAAAACAGACAAACATATATAGCGAAAAGATCACCGACAGCAAAATCGACATACTTACGAAGCATATCCATAAATTAAATAACTATCTCCTCCAAGAAAATATATTTATTTATTTAAATTTTTAGGGTATCCAATGTTTTTGAGTAAAAGGAAAAAGAGGAAAAAAAATGAAGTTGAGACTTAATTTTTTTCTTTTTTGACAATAGTTGAAACTTAAGTTGGTGACACATAAATGGCAATAAAATATGTGACCCACTCATACCTAATTTAAAAGTTATACAACCATGCTAATAATTGTTGATCAATCATCAAAACTTGAATCTTGAGACATAATTGTCAATTCAAGAACATAGAAAATGAAAGTATTAGATTTCCAAAGAAAACCAAAACAGAAGATGAAGAATATTCATACCTTAGTTAGGATGATGAGGAGACAAAGGCTTGGAATTTCTGAGAAGAAATAGGAGCTATGAACAGATTTGAGTCCATCGATAGCGAGGTTATTTTTGGGGACTTAAAAAGAAAGAGAAGAAGTGAGAGATATGAGAGAGAGAAGTGAGTGATATGTTTGGTTTGGGAGCACAAAAGAGGAGAGAGTGGATTGTTTATAGTGTAAGATGATGTTTTATTATGGGAATAGCTAAGGTTGCTGTGAGTGGGAGTGGAGGGGACAATGGTGGGACGTCTCACACTTAAGTCAGACCACAATTTTTTTTTTTAATTATTTTCTTCGGATAATTTTCTTTATTCAAAAAATATATATCTATATATGTGTATATATATATATATAATAATAATAATAATATATGTGCGATACACACCAAAAAAAATAAAAGTGGTTCGTCCACAATAGCGTATGATCTGCTTGTATAACACCATTCACCTAAAAAAATTTGATCTGCTAATATTTAATAATAAAAAAAGAAATTGTACTGTGGCGGTACATTTTGTGAAGAAAGAGTGAGAACCACTTCCGGTTCTTGGACTTCTCATTTTTGTAGTGGTCTAAAAGTGTTTCTTCATTTATTTTATTATTTTATTATTAAACTTTTTGACAATCTTATATATCTATGTTTTCTTAATAGAGAAACAACAGTTCTCTTTAAGCTAATACAGTAATTTTTTTTTCCACATTATCTGATATAAAGTTAACTAGAAATAAACAGTATGAATTAATATATCATTTTGAAATAATTTAAGTACAAAATAATTCAAATCTGATTATTTCCATATTTTTCATGATGTATTAATTAAATATATATTATTTAAACATATAATTGTAAGTAATAGTATTTATTACTTTTTTTAAAAATACATGTTCAATAATATGTTAAACTAATATTGCAAATTTATTTTGATATAATTAATTGTTTTTAGTATGTATAGTTTATATAAAATATTTTATTTTAAATTAATAGTTTTTATAATATAAATATTTTATCTGTACTATTTGATCTGCTTTCACCATTCAACACATATTTTAAAGTGTTCGAACCACTTGATCCGCTTTTAATCCGTCAGATCTGCTTGATCCGCTTTTGTTCTGCTTGATACGCTTGATCCGCTTGATCCGCTCCGCCCGATACGCTTTCTCTATTCGGAGCCAATATATGTGTGATGGTTCAATTGGTTTCATACTCAGGGTCCATAATAATAATTACTCTATTAATTAAAATTCTGTTAAAGGTAAAAGTTGGCTGTCCAAGTCCGGCCAATTGAACCAGTTAGATGAGTTGCTTTTAGTATTATCGGATCTGAGTTCAAATCTAAGAGAAATGATTTGTAATATCACAAATATGCTCAAAAGTTGGTAACTTGGTATTATGCTCAAACCGATAATTTGGAGTTTTTCATTATAAAAATGGTAAAATGTGTGTAAATTTCAAATCCAATTTAAATGATTTACTATCTATGAATTCATCACAAATAAAAGGATTACAAACTGAAAATTTGGAGCTTTTAAAATGTAAAAATCATAAGAAGTTGGTAATTTTCATAGCCAAAAGAATCAAATTTGAGAGGGAAAAAACTATATATCCTTCACAAATAAATTCGACATCCACGTTTACTATGTAGAAGTTGTTAAAATTTATTTTGGATGGTCAACATTGATAGGATATTATAAATTCTTTTTAATTAGAAAATGTTATTCAAGTATATTTTAGGATCTATTAAGCATGATTTACAAATATATGATCCAATAACACTTGATTTTACAGCTTGATTTATAATTAATCCATGATTGAACAACAATCCTTTAAAAAAAAAAGAACCAGTATAATTTATGAAAAAGAAACAAAGAAATTCCTATGCATTAGAAGATGTTAGGTTAATCGATTGTACGAGTTTTACCAATTAGTCAAACGTCTAGTTAGTAGTTGCTTAGTGGATCTCGACGTATAGCATAACCGATGAATAACTATACTAGATATCTAATCAATTAATTAGCTAATACAAACCATTATTGATTTTAATTTTTTATTTTATTTTTTTTGATAAACCCTCAAAAAATTAATTTTTGTAATTTTGGATAAATCAAATTGCAGACCATAATTGTTAAGCGTATGAACGTCTATGGTCTAAGTAACCCTTTTTTTTTTGTGCAAAAGGTCTAAGTAACCAATATAGAAAAAATGTCCAAGTTTAGTTAGAATTAATGGATTTGTTCGAATAGGTTTGTTTTTTTTTTTACGAGAGTACATAGAAGCTAAATTGAAAAACTCACCATCTTTGTAGTTAGTTAAAGAAGAAAAAGATTTTCGATTTTTTTTTTTGTTTTTGGATTAAATATTGGGCTTCAATTCCTGCCAACACGTTCGTTTGCTATTTGTTTCACAAGGCTTTACCTATTTTGCGTTTCTTTTGTTTTGTTTGCTATAAAATGGTTGGCCATTATCGATGGGATTTTGGAGCTTACGAGGAACATAGATAAGCTTGGAACATACTATTTGATTTATTATTATTATAGAATTTTTTTTCTTCCTTTGCCATGATTTATTATTAATTAAGAGTCAATTTGGTGAATGGCAAAAAAGGTAAAGTAAATTGTAATTTTTTTTTTGTCACCTGTTAAAATATATTAATCCAGAAAGATAAAGAAACTTTACAAATACAGAGGAAGTTTGAAACAGGGTAGCAAAACCACTGCAGTACTAACGAGACCTAGGCACTTTTACAAAATAAGGCCTTTACAAAAGAATACTCTCATAGACAGAGCAATTACAAGGAATCAACACAAAAAGCAAAGAGCAGAGGATTACACTCTCTCACCAACGAAAAGGAAGCTTAACCAGTACGAATGACTTGTCGCTACATAGGATTGAAGACGACATTCCTCAGTAACACTTTTCGCAATGAGATGAGCTCCTCTGTTTGCAGCTGATCCTTCCACCATTAATCTCCAGAACTGAACCAATCTCAAAGCTCTCCATAGCTCTTCCGCATGATATCTAAAAGAGGGCCATGCATTTGGCCTCAAAATCGCACCCACCAAATCAGCAGCAACTATAGCAAAGACTAAATGGTTTAATCTATGGCTACACATGCTTTCAATCGCCCAAATCACACACAGCAGCTTTGCTTCATCTTTTGACTTAACATTGGAGAAAGCTCTTCTACTGTGAAATAAAACCATCCCTTTATCATCTCTAACCACCCAAGCATCCCCTCCCAGAGAGTTTCTTTTTGACCAGGCAGTCCCCACATTGCATTTTAACCATCCTTGCCCAGGAGGTAACCAAGCCTCATTCAAATCCTGCCCACCCAACTGAACACCAACCGATTGACCAGAAGAAAGGGTAGAGCCCTCATTTTGCACAACCTGAGCTAAAAACCAGTTCTCAACATCCTGTTTGACTTTCTGAACCGTCTCCAAAGGCGAGAAGACCTTACCCTCAAAGAAAAATAGGTTCCTGTTCTTCCAAATTCTCCAGATTATCCATGGAAAACTTTTCCTTAGATCATTTGGCCACTTCCTGTTATTTTTGTTGATGAGGAAATGATGGATAATAGAAAACAGAGAACCAGAGTGCATACCATTCTCGGGCAAAGGGTAATCAGAAAGTGCCCAGATCTGACGAGAAAGAGTGCAAGTGAAGAGGGCATGTTCAATTGACTCACCTTCAAGACCACAGTATTGACATCTACTGTCGACTTTCATTCCTCTGTGGGAAAGAAGATCAGCCACTGGTAAAGCACCACTCAGCACCTTCCAAAGAAAGACTTTGATTTTTGGATCAGTAATCAATTTCCACACCTGTTCTTTGAGAGGGTTTAGAGAGGGCTGGACAGAAGCATCATGGATTAAGGAGTTCTGATTAGAAATAACTGCCAGCCAATAAGCTGATTTGACAGAGAAGTCTCCGCTTTTATTATGCCTCCAAATCCAAAAGTCCTGAATAGAGACGACAAGCTTAACTGCCCTAATCTTGATGATATCATCAGGGAAGAAGTGTTCCTGCAGCTTACCAATATCCCAGTCTCTGTGATCAAAATCAATCAAGTCTTTAACCCAAAGACCAGGGTCAAAAAAATCATTCTTTATCCAAGGTGCTCTGAGAACTCCATCATCCTCCAGCCATCTATCAACCCAAACTCTCAGAGAGGATCCATTACCAACTTTCTTCATTAACCCTTTACACAAAAGATCTCTCCCGTGCAAAATGCTCCTCCAACCAAAGGAAGGACGCTGCCCAAGACAAGCCTCAAGAAAATGACAATCAGGAAAGTATTTAAAGTAAATTGTAATTATTGGATGCTTAGTTAAGTCAAATAGAAATGAAGGCAACATAATTAATTATTTTATGTAACTGTTATTCCGCAACGAGTTATTCTTATATGGCCTCTAATAAGAACTAAATCTAAAATCAAAAGTTTCGCTTTTAGTTAATAAATTTCATATAATAATAGTTAAATAAAAATAAATTTTATACAGATGAAAATTAATAAATTTCATGTCTTAATAGCTAATTAAAAAATAAATTTATACATATATGTATATATATATTATTGGAGCCGTACCATGCGGTATGGTTTTTTTTTTCTCTGGTCGAAGCCAAAATCTTTGAAAACTATCCAAAATTAAGCAAAACATATGTTGCTTACACTCATTGTTATTCTTAATTGCCACAACTATTGTTTTTTTTGTTTTTGGTCATCTGGCACAATTTTCTCAATTTTCTGCTAGTCTCATTTTAATTTTCTTTCATGGTTTTTACTTTTTACTTTTTACTGATATAAGCTAGGACCATACTTTCTTCCACGTTTAAATTTACAGTTTACAAAAATAATATAAAATAGTAAAACTATCTCTTTCAAATGCGCAGTAGAAGTTTTGTATCCATCTATATTTTACGGGACACTGATGTGAGAGGTGAGATCAGGAGCAGTTCTTAAGTCTGAGATAAGAGTCCAAAGTTGAAGTAAAGATCATCACTACACAGAAAGCATATCCATGTAGGACCACGACAACTAGTTCCATTGTTTCTTTCTTCAGTCTCTCCACTTAAGTATTCTATTCCTCTTTTACACAAAATTAATAATATTCAGTTTTTATTAATTGCTCATCTGATCATGTGAAATTTCTAAAAATAGAGAATCGAAGGTTTTGGAGTATAGTAGAAGTAGGGTTTAGATTCCGTTTTTAACAAGTCAACTATTCTTTGTTAGAAGTTTGAAAGGTTAAAATTCTATGTTTGGAGTTGGAAGTGGGT